GCGCCATGGGGCAGGAGGAGATGCTGGAGGTGGCTCCATGGGGCAGGAGGAGGTGCTGGGGGTGGGTGTGCAGGGGACAGGAGGAGGTGCTGGGAGGTCTCCGTGGGGCAAGAGGGGGCGCTCAGGGTGGCTCCATGTGGCAAGACGGGGCGCTCAGGGTGTCCATGGGGCAGGAGGGAGTGCTGGGAGGATCACTGGGGCCGGAGGGGGCGCTGGGGGTGACTAATGGGTCAGGAGAGTTGCTGTGGTGTCGGAGGGGACATGGGACAGCAGGGGGTGCAGGAGGGGACAGGGGGCAGGAGAGGACGTGGGACAAGAGGTGCAGAAGCCGGAGGAGGCTGCAGGAACGGGCCCAGCCCCCAGCGCCGTTCGGTGGGAAACAGCAGGAAAAACCTGCCCTTTCGGTAGAGCCAGATCCAGCAGGCACCTGCGGCTGCTGCTCACGGGCTGGGGACTCGTGGTGGCACCGGGATGAGAGGGTCACCACGGTGCAGAGGGACAAAGTCTGACGCTATGAAAGAGCCACCAAGGCCAGTGCAGTTGGGACCGGGTGGGAAGTCCCCTCTGGGGGGCAGCCCCCTTCTCCTTTCTCCTTCCCATCTGGTTTTGTGGATAGGGGAAGATGCAAAGTGTCAACGAGCAGTCACAATAACCCACGCACAGATTCCAGACTCTACAGCCTTTCCCAGCAGGATTAACATGGGAGCCAGGCCGTATCCTTCAACAGTGAGTGCCCGGGACTGGCATTCCCAGCTGGAACATCCCGCGGCACAGGGAAGTGCGGTTGGAACACCCTGCCCTGAAAGGCAGTTTTGGAAAATCTGATCAGTTCTGCTTTTCCCCCGGCTGGAGCCGCTCTGGGTGGCTTTTGGGAGACATGCTGGGTGTTGGGAAAAGTAGGACACCGTGGCTTGCCGCGGGCCAAGTCCTCTCAACTGGGGCGTAATGACACTTCCCCCTCTTTCATGAGGCTCCAGCACTTTCTGATCTCGGGAAGGAAAATAAATCACGGCGCGGCATAAAAGTCATCAAAACGGGGTGAGCCGCGCCGCGGGAAGGGCGCGGACACCCGGAAAATGAGAGGAAAAAACGATGTCACGGAGAGCTCCGTCCCCTGCAGGGTTAACGTCCCCCCCCGCGTCCCCTCCCCGCCCGCTGCCGCTCCTGCCCTTGG